TCCCGTCACCTCGCAATTCGCACCGAACTTCGCGACGTGGCGTTTCCTAACCTCCGCCGGCGAGATTTGCGATACTTGTCCTTCGCACTCGCGTGGAAATTGTCTCCGCGGATGTTGTTGATGTGTATACCAGGCGAGACGTGGATCTCCCGCACGACTACCGCACGCCAGATAACAGGACCAAGATGCGCAACAACGTTCGCGTCCACGGTCTTTTCGCGAGACGCGTTTACTCGGAGATCGTCCGCGACACGGCACGACGGCTCTGTACGCAAACACTGTTTTTCTCCCTCTCTCTCTCTCTCTCTCTCTTTCTGTCTTTGTCCAGCAGTGCGCGCCCCTAGCTTTCTGGAACGACCGGATGGCGCACGGTGCTGCTGCGGCGTTGTAAACTCTCTCTACTCACGCACGAACAACGCGAACGCGCTTCTCTCTCTCTCTCTCTCTCTCGTTCCTCCGCGAACCGGACGCGCATGCGCCGCGCTCTTTCGCATTGAAAGGCGGGTATGCGCGAGAGCGGTACTTACACTTACACGTTGCTCGCTCGCGCGCGCCCTCTCTCTCTCTCTCCTCAGCCCAGCCCCGCCGTATTCTTATACCGTACTTCATCGAGTCAGACGCGATACTTCATTCATGCTCGTATTGTGCGGCCAGGGCCGACCCGCGGAATCGCGGGGCCACGCGATATCTTTTCCATTACACTTTAGAAAAATTATATAGAAATTGCCAGAGATTGTCGTCTCTTTATTCCTGCCTTTCGTTATGATCGAAAGAAAAAAGTCGCGCGCTCATTTGATCAATCTTACGCGTCATTCGATTCACGGTAATGAATGATTAATTGTTTTAAGGACGGTAGTCGAGGGTGTCCTCCGGAGGATGCTCGAGGGGATCGATAGCGGAATGGGGGTATCCGTCCGGGTGATCGAACGTTGTAACACGCCGATCCTGCGATCGGGTCTCTCTCCCACATGTCGGAGCGACTCGGCTCTCTTCGTAAACTTCTGCCGACTACATCCTCTTTCGTCCTCGTCGCACGCCCTTTACAAACTGTCGCGCTATTCTCTTCTCTCTCACGCGCCGCAACGCTCTACGTTCGTTCCATTTGCTCGCGGGTACGTCGTACGGAGATGCCGTGTGTGTATATATTAAATATATGTTTGTAGGCGCGATGCTCCTCCTATACCCATAATCCGCCTAGGCGGACCGCGAGAAAGAGAGACGCGTACTTTTTTTTTCGTCCCTTTTCCGTTGGAACCATAAATTCGCAATTTCAGCGACATATCTCGATGCGCGCGAAAATAAAAATTTTCCTCTACTTTATATACGTTGATAAAATTACAAGTCACACTTACGAGTTACATGTCACGTCGGTCTAATCGAATTGCTAATATATTCAACTTTTATATAAGAATGAATTTTTATCCTCGTACGAGCAAACCACTCGGTTTTATATATTATATAAACCGACAATTTTACTTTGCCGGATTTTTTATCGTAATAAAAAAAAAAAAAAGAATATTGAGATAAAACGAGGAAGCACACATCGTCCATGACGATCGTCGGAGATAACCCCTGGTAAAGCGTAATACACACCTCGTATAGAGATTGAAGACTGCGTTCATTCATAATTTGCATCGTGATTTATGAAAATCCTGTTGCGAGAAAGAAAAACACGCGCGCGAATACTTGATGTTTTATCTGCGTTTTACGAGGAAAAAAATGTGCGGCTTGCAAAATTACTAGTAATTTTTCCAAGAAATTCACACAGTGATACACACGATTTTCAATTACAGCACTAGACTCGCTCCTTTCGATCGGAGTATTTACAAAAATGTGAAAAATATCAAGTCGACGCCGCGGATATACCATATAATCCGATACATCGCAATTCTCGGAACAACAATGAATCTAATAAGGTAATAAATCACGCAAGAACGCCGCCGTATCGTTCACGTGTATATGGGGAAGGGCCGTCGAAGGGCCCTCAAGGTCCCCGTTAGGTCGGATTACCCTGCCCTATGGTCTTTGCGAATTTGACACCGAAACGCGCACCTGTCCGAAAGTGGCCGTAAGATACACGAGGGTACGAGAACGAAAATTGTATCCGCTGAGAATCGCCTTGGCTTTTCGGATGCGCTAATGTTCGCCACGTTTGTCGATTCCAGTCGTCACATTTAGATATTCGTGCGTCACGACGTTGCTTGTAAAAATACGAAATATATATATATATATGTATATATATTTAACGTTAATTTATACTATCTATCAGCTGTCACTGATTTTTTTAACCTTACGGTTTAATCTTTCGCACATGTCAAACGCTTAAGATTGAAGTTAAGCAGTTCGAACGATTCTGGCCGTGAGTCACGACGAATGCTCGGAATCTATTCGAGATATTCTCGGAAACGCCAAGAGAAAAAAGTCAGCGAAAGACAGACTGACTATCTGTAATATTCCTCGATAAAGCGCTTGTACGATTGTTCATAATACTTCTCCGAAATGGAAATACGGATCGTCAATTATAGTATCCGCTGTCATCAGCGGATATTGTAGGAAAAAAAAAAAGAGAGAATTGATGAATTAATTCGTTTATACGACGTACTTTGTTCCAAGAAGCGGCACTTCCTCGCCGATGATATTCATCATTGGTCGATTCATGATTCAAATCGACGCGACAGTACGGGGAATGTTCGTCACGAGACTCGCTCGCAAACTCTTCTCCGAAACATAAATGTCAGAGTAATATGAAAAACGCAGATCGAGGCGGAAGCTGACAATCGATCGATTTATACTCGTTGATTCTCTCGACGAAGAACCTGATCTATCGATCTATTCATTGAGGCAGGCGAGAGATAACAGCAGGCGTTGGATTTAATCGAAATAATAATAATAATTCGTAAACATGAACGATGTCGCAAAATTATGATTTCGGAGCGCTAGAAAACGAAAGATGATGTCAGTAGTTGCTTAATGTCAAAGAAAGACCAAAGCGAGCTAAATGGAAAGCAACTAGTAACTCGCGTCGATCCAATCGACTTTCCTCGGCCATTTCTACTGTTAGTAATAGGAGCGACGACGTTTATACGAGTATCTACACGGCACGGCACGGCACGGGCGTGGCGGCGATGCGAATCGCGTGCACCGCTTCCCTCGAGAGGATATCCGGTGTGGAAACGCTTGCCCTCCCGTTCGCTCCCTCTCTGTCTCGCTCGACGGAATCGCATCGCGTCCTCTGTTCCCCCTCTCTCGACGTCATTCTTCTTTCATAGCACGGTCTTCAACAGCACGTCCTCAATGAGTCGACCGACAGTCGCATTCACGTCGGAAGTTTTACTTTACGCTTTACGTCAAACGGGGGCCCACGATGGGACTTTTTCGGTAATCCGAGTCATGCCCGTTCGTTCGGAAAAATCCATCCTTTTCAAGTTTTTCTTCTTTTCTCTCCAATTTTCAAAGTCATATATATATATAATTATAAAGAGTTTTTGACAATCAAATCGTATATTGAATAAAAGAGAAAAAACGTCCTCGAGATAGATTCTTTCCCTTCTCCATATTTTCCTGCGCCATTGCTTTCAGCAATTGCAAGGTTAATTGCCTCTAATTAAGTAGACATTAGTGTACTCGGAATAGCGGTGGCGAAATGTTACCCTCATTTTCACAATTATATTTTTCCTACTCACACATTTTCTTACGCATCGAGACTCCTATATTTAATGTACAATTTCCAAAAATATTTCTATCATCGGGGACAAGATATCTCCGACTCCTCTTTCCTCATTACAGTCTATTTACAAATAATTGAATGTCAGCGAAAGCTCGGTCGCAAATGTAAAATTTCAATCGTTCGATTTGGAGTAAACGCTGACAGATCCGAACGATCAATGCGCGAGCACGCGCGTGCGCGTGCAGTCGCACTAACACAGCGAAACAGTCGCGCGCAGTCGTCACAGTCGGAGAGAGGCGCGAGGACAACCTGCAGATGCATGAATGACTCGAAAAATGACGTGCGCGTATTATTGAGCGCGGCCTGCCGATTCGCGGCGTGCTCTCGGTCGCTCCCAGCAAGGACACGACATATATTTTCCGACTTTGACTAGCGACGGACTCGAACCACTCGAGAACGCGCGAGCAATTTTACGCAAACGTTAGCGATTGTATAAAGACAAGATCGGACGTTCAAATTGTCATTTATTTTTACAATTTATTATTAATCAGAAAAGAGTAAATGTATATGAAAGGGAAATAATAAAAGTCAGCCTTCGTTAATCGAGATGATGGAAACGCGAGCACGTGTTAATTGATCTCGCATTATCATTTGTTCGCACTGCTCGATGGTTTGTATCCTTCGTCGCAATCATCGTACACGGATAACTTGGTTGTTCCCTTGATGGGGAAGGGAAAGGAAAATAGAGGCGAGCACGCATCGATGTAAGATAATGCGTGCAAGAGAGAGAGAGAGAGAGAGAGAGAGAATCCCGTGTCGCTAAACCGCGCCGACGAATTAAAACTTACGACTTACGTAAACGAATGTTTCGAGTCGCGGCGACATTCGTACACAAAGATATGCGTCTCTCGATTTCGCACAATCGATCTTGCACGCCCGCGCCCTATTATTCCGCCACTTCCGGTGGCGTGAAGAGAAAACGGAGAGTTCCGAAGAATTCGAGAACGATACGCGATCTACGACACTGCGTAACGTTACACGTCATCGTCGTCGATTTATTTCTCGAGTTTCTTTTTCCGGCGTTACTGCCACTCTCGGCCAATTAAAAACGCGTGTTCCCACGGTCGGGGTGTATCGCCGAATGTCTTAATAAAGGAACATGCAATAAAGATCCAAGAAGCGGAAAAAGGGTCCATAAATTTATGGCCTCTTTTTGTCCTAAAGATTTTCTGTGTGTTTGAATTTATATTTACGCACGTATTCGATTTCGATCATTTTTAAATGGATAGAGAACAGAGGGCGCGGTCATTTAAATAAGTATAAACGCAGAGGCTAATGTTGTCGTCGTGAAAGAATAGAGACGAGAATATAATCTTTATTATATAAGACTGCTTATATTCAATTATATTTATCTGCTTATTTCTGAAATGCTTTTCCGTTGTCACGCGTATCGAAACGAGATGTTTTTTTTTTTGCAGAAACACTTCCTCTTCCTGCAGAAATCTGTGTCCTTTTACAAAAAGGAAACGTATTTTTGACATTCTACATTTCTATAATCAAACATACGCAACAAAACCATTTTTTTTTCATTCGTTTAAAAATTTTCGTTCGTTTTTACAAATTCTTCAGATTGCATATCGAGATTGGGACAAGGCCGTTCAAAGACAAGTTTGCTAAATTATTGCAATAACTGCAGTATAATGTATCGTAAAAAATGTTTGTCACGAAAATGTACAGAATTTATTTTCAAAAGACGAGGATACTTACTAACAGATGCGAGCACATATCGGACATGCGAATCCCGAGTGAAACGATGAGAACTTGATCGATTGGGAGTGCCAAGAGACCAAAGGATGACACAGTAATGAATGAGAGAGCATCGGCGCATATAAGAGAGAATAGAACTTTTTTTTCCGTCTTTCCCTTTTCTGCGAAACCTCGCGAACCCCAGTCTTTATTTTCCAGTCGCAGTATATATATACTTTGCTCGTCTCGTACAAAGAGATTACATATACAAAACACATGAGGTTCACGCACGATTCTTTCATTCATTAGAGCTATATGTCCCTCTCTCTCTCTCTCTCCTCTTTCTGCCGCTCCTCTATCGTCGCTTTTCCACGTATCTATACAACCACGTCGTTGCCACCCACGACATTCCATCCGGAATGACTCTCTCCTTTTCGCGATCGCGCACTTCCAAGAAGCTCCATCTCCGATGCGACTGACTCTACCTTTTCTTCGTTCTCGTCGTCGACAGGATATGAGAGTACCGCTTCGTGGTACTCTGTAAATACTCTGAATGCAATCGCCGAACCCAACTCGATCGCGTCTCCTTCGACTCGTCTCCTTCGATCGTCTTTGAGACTCGGCGAACCGGACATATTACGCGCTCTCAAAGACCGATTTCTCCGCATCCTTTAATCCTTTCTTGCGGCGTGCTCCTCGACGATAAGTCTAAGCGGGCACTTTAGACCACGGAAGCGTGAAAGAATGGAAGAAGAAGAAGCGTCGATTCTTGCGGACTGGAGGATATTGACGATCGAGACGACTCGACGTCCGTTTCGGGTTCGCGATGTCGCGAAACTCGTCGACGACCCGATATCTCTCTTCGATCTTGCCGAGCAGTCGTCGGAAAAGCGAGAGGTCCTTGGATAATCGTCGCTGTCGTGATCCTCATCGTGTCCTAGAGTATCTGGAAGAGCTTCTTCAGTTCCACCATCAGCTGCCAATCGGTTTTCAGCAGATCGTCTCTAAAGTAATCCTTGCAGGCGTCTATACTCTGTCTACTTATCTGTAACAGATTGAAAAATACATCGCTGTGTACAATTTTTCATTTATAATTAAACAATAAAATGGGGATTTACACCTCTTGATTGTTTGATTGAAAAAGGACTTCATCTGTCACATGTTTGTGCAACACTTGAAAAATACTCGAGTATAAAAACGTATGTATTGAAAACTTTGGAGTAACAAGTGCAATTCGCGAGTCGGAGATAACCCTTCTTTCTCTCTGCGATAGCGCTTTAGGAGAAAAAAATGTAACGTCACACGTTACATAATCGAATGACGCAACTATAACGGGAACACAAACGTCATTCGTGTGACGTGGCAGGCTATGTGTCGAAGGCGAAATCTCGATCGAAGAGAAGAGGCAGAACCGAAGAGCTCTAGAATCGCGCGGTGTTTTCGAGAAGCGTGCGTGTCTTTTTAACACGCGGCTATAATTTTCACGTGCGACGCTTTTCGCAAATAGAGAGAAGAGCGTGCTCGCGCGCGCGCGCGCGCTCGGAAACGTAACGCTTCACAACTGTTTCCGCCCCCACTCCCGGCCGGAAGTCCCGTTTCATTCATGGATCGGTCACAATGGTGGTTTTACGCGGCTATTGAGGCCGCCACGCCCCTTTTCTCTCTCTCTCTCTCTCTCTGCTACCTCGCTCCACGTTTCCCCACCTACGTTCGTATTACCGCTCATAAAGTACGCGGAACGTTGAATATACAACAGTTCGGGGTAATCATAAAAAATTTCACAGACGGCACGAGGCGTACGCACAACTAATTTGAAAGTTTAAGTTTTTCGCGCGAAATCCGCGATCGCGATTACGCGTCTCTCATCGGATGTTATTATGCAATTTCGGCCTCCGTGGCGAAAAAAGCGCGATAAGATCGCGCGATCGGGCCGAATCGACTGACGAGAGAGAGAGAGAGAGAGAGAGGTGCTTTGAAAACTTTATCAAGTTTACGACTGATGAAATTTTTCAGAGCTGCATTTAAAATGTTTCGCGCCAAGATTAAGAACGAACTATTTCCGCGTTCGAATAAATAAACGCATCTCCGAGAGATGCTTGGCTAAAAGCAGGAATGAAAACATTTGTGCTTCGAACTTGTATGAAGCAAAAAAAACAAAAACATATTTTAAACTCACCTTAGACGATCCATCATTTTTATGACAAGATTCTTTTTTTCATGTCATGTAATGTGATTGAAAAATTTTTTTATTCACAATACACAGAATATATAGAATATATGCGTATCGAAAAGCGCATCATAAAAATATATATAGCACGTAAAATGATAAATTCTGTCGTGAAAATATAATCTAAAGTTGACCTTACAGTTTTTACTACCGATTATTTTTATCTTAACATTTTCTACGTGGAAAACATTTTTCTAGACAACTGAAATCAGGTTGATTTGTATATAATCTTTATTTTACTTATATAAAACTTTGTCATTTCCGGTCGGTTATCTTGCTTATATATAGAAGCAAAACCTTTTTAAAGAAAACACTTGCATAATCGTCCGTCGTACTTTGAAATAAAAAAATGAATATATGTATATGTCAACTCCCTTTTATTGCTGACTTTTCGCGTTTCTTTTCATTCCGCTCGAGACATTTTCGTTGGAGCGAACAAAAGCAAAAGCTCTTTCGCTTCGCTTCAAGTATGAATCGACATGTCGGCGGAACAACGGCTTCGGGGGAATTATCGTGGGAACAAGATACTTCCGGAACTGATTCCACGAACCAAACGGTAACGACGACTTCCGCTTGCCTACCAAAGCACAGGAAGATGTTTGAAGCCCGACGATAGAAACAGACTCGTGGAAAGGGGGAGGAAAAGATGGCAGGGGGAAAAAAGGGGGGGGAGAGAGAAGGAAGGAGGAAGAAAAAATGAAGATGAGAGATGGTCGGTTTGTACGCCGAAGAAAAGGCGCTGCTGGAGTTTCCCACAGGGGAAGAGGCCTACGAAACATCCGTCTTAATTAACGATCGCAACAGTTTTTACACACATTTCCTCGAGATGCGATAATGTAACGGCGGTGAAGTAATTGAAACATGATCCATTCAGCCCCGCTTTAGATCTTTATTAACCCTCGTAACGCGTATAAATTCACGTAATATCGTTATCAACTTGCACGCTCGTTTTCTTTCATTTGTGGAATCAAATTTTCACTCCTATCTCTTCCTTTCTTTCTTGTTTTAAATATCACATTCATTATGTATATATATATATGTATATATATATATATATATATATATATACAGGGTGTCCGGTAACTAACGGACACAAATGGATTCTTTGGTCAATTTGGGAACGATTTTTCCTCAGCGAAAATGTCGAAAAAGGTCATCATTTTTTACAACTTTCCAATATTTGTCATTATGTATCTTTATAACTAAGCCTCAAATTAAAATTTTATTATAGTAAACTCTATCTAAATTAACTGAAGAATGTAATTATGTTAGACTTTTAACTCCAAAACGTTTAGTTTTCAAAAAACCCATTTTTTTCAATCGCTTATAACTCGAAAATTATTGACTTCTCAACATTTTTGCTAAGGAAAAATAGTCTCAAAATTGGCCAGAGAATCCGCCCTTAATCATTGGTCCGTTAATTACCGGACACCCTGTATATATATATATACTTGTATGTGATCTTTTTTTCAAACTATAAAGACCGTCGCGATTAACAATAAAATATAAAAACTTTCGTGAGTGATTAAAATTCTTGTATCTTTTTTATAAGTTGAGTCACACGTGATATCTGCGTATCGGAAATATCAAAAGAGATCAGATAAAACTATGATATTATTTGTACAGAGGCGATTATTTTTGTACGATTCGATCAATCGTTGCTATGAATGTGCACGTGTATGTGATAATTTTATTTATCAAAGCAAACAACTTGCAGCGTTAGAATGAAATTTCTGAGCGAGCGATTTGTAGTCGATATTCTGGCCTGAAGGAGGAAGACCGAAAAGGAAAAAGAGTAGAAAGTAAAGACTGAGAGGGAGAGAGATAGCGAGCTTCTACGAAGGCCGGAAGCCGACAGCGGACGGGCGATCGCCGCCGGATGTTCATCTTCCTTTTTCGATCTAGGTCTCGCATACTAACAAGTCGAATTCGCGTCAAGGCAAAAACGCCTTTCTCAATTTTGCGTCCAATGCAAGTAAAATAATATGCAACCGCGTCAATTAAAATCGCCGAGCTTTTAAAGTTCATCTCGATTTAGTTGTAATTAAGGTTGAATTATTCGTGACATTGTCGTGTTTGATATTTTTCTTTGTATTTTAAGTATACGGAATTGATAAACCGATAGTCGAAGCACTTACCTTACTGACGAGAAAGTCTTTCGCTTCAAAATGACGACCAAACATCTTTGGCGCTTCTCCCGGTACAGGCTCGATTTTGATGCAAACTTCTTGACCTTTCCTGGCCGATTCCACAGATTTGTGATTGTACTCTATGCTAGTTACCATACCCAACTCGACAAACTGAAACAATCAATTGAACGACAGCGATAAGTATTCATATGTTGTATGTATATCAAATATATTTAAAATATATAGGCATTGTTTCATTTCGTATAATACCTAAATAAATAAAAATACAGAGACTGAATGATTTTCATATTTCTGGTCCCTAATTGGAAACAATTCAAGTCGAGGAGATCCGAGAAGATCCTAACTTTGTTCTCTCCCTATCCAGGTGGTAACACGACGCTATTTCATTCATTCGTGTGCGTTCGCTCGGTTCAGCATCCCGTATCGAATGCTCAAACACACGATTTAACAGCACGATCTACCGAAACAGGTCTCTCTCGTAACGAAGCTTATAGTAGCGCGACTTTTTTCTTTTTCTCTGTTTTTTTTTTTTTTTTCGCCATCGATCGTCGGTGTCTGGTCGCGTGGGTATAACTCTACGCCTAGGCACACCTTTATCGCGACCGGAAGTCGGGGCAGCCCGAGTACCTGAGTAGAGCTGCCGTGCCATGCCGTGCCGTGTGCCTGGTCTCGCACAACCGAGACGTGGGTATGCATTTTCGTCGAGAATCGGTGAACCAAAGTAGGTAGGCGATATCCTTCTCTTTTCATATACGTAGGTCGACGTATAGTAGGTTGGCCGATGCAGGATGTTTGCGAACATCCCGCTTAAGATTCAACCATCGCATTTCGGGATTTTCGCTTCAACTTTAATCCAGATTATCCCGCATTAAGGTAATAATGCGTCAACTATTTTAAGAAAGACAGAGAGAGAGAGAGAAGAATGAGTATTTCATTCAAGAATGAGCCAGCTGTGTGTACTTTACCTATCCTTTCATCGCATTAAAAATAATAAACACCAAGCTAGCGGGTCCATCGTTAATCATGAAGAAAATTTGAATTTCCCTTATTTGGATTTTCTGTCGAGCATCGTCAGGACTGTGAATTTATTATGTATATCTCACGAGACATGTTGTATAACGGTGTTATATAGACGAAAAAAGCCGAAGCACGTTGCACACCTGCAGGAGCGCTAAACGCGTTCAGAAGACTTACGCGCGATCACGGTTCAAAGTTTTATCATCACGCAAAATACTTTAATGCAGCCCGAATCCTATATGTGCTTCTATAAAATTCCTTCTTTTATAACCATTATCTTTCCCGCCAATTTTAAATAAAATTATTTATATAATTCAAACATTTGAGAAATTTCACCAATAAGTTTAAGATATATATGAATTAAAATAATTAATCAAACTATATATTATGTATTTCTAATAATTAATAAAATCATTTTTTATCGCACGATATATCATCTCGCATATCTTTTCTCGCAAACTGCATCGAGTGTAATAATTACCAAAAAAAAAAGGTACACGCGCAGGAGAAATATTACGCACGTGTCAGAGTTAATCAGCTCAGACGCGAAAAAACGGATACGATCGTCCGTTCACCCGTGTTCTCCACGACGTGTATACTCTCTTCTGGCCGGGCGTACTTTTATGGCGTACCCCCGTCGTCAAATTCTCGACACTCGGCCGAAAGGAATTACCATATAGGTGCACGTGTGCAGGCGGGCAAACGAACCTTGTTCGTCCTCCGTCTCGACCTTCTCCGCCCTTCCAGCCTATCCCGCACTTTTCTTCAATCCTCTCGTGCGCTCTCGCTCTTTTAACCGCTCGAGGTTTTAAGATAAAGTCTGTCGAAGAACCGACCGCTAATTTCGTACCGTCTGTCTTCTCGTTTTTCGTCTCTCGGATGTATAACATTATGCGACGTATTTTACGACTGTCCCTTTCTTTAGTTCCCGTATTACTAGGAATTTTGGAAGTCTCGAGGTCGACTGAACTTTCTCATAGACGATTATATCGAATTTTCATCGTTCAAGAGATATCATTTTTTTGTTAAAATTACAGTTGTTATATATATATATATATATATATATATTGAAGAAGGAAAAAATCGATCGTAATGACAAATCGGTGGCCGATTTAGCTCTACGGTATTTAGATACTCCCGTGGCGCATTAGACGCTTATACCATAAAAAAAGAGGATTATCCCGAGCAAGGGGGCTTAACAGCTTTACGGCTTAAAAATCTGGTCACTGTTGCAAACACAAGGCCCTCGTCTCCTGAAATTACGGAAGCCATTATAGGTGTTATCAACGCGCGCGCTTTACCTTTTACGACAAACATTTCAATAGACTGCGAGAGGAAGCGAGCATTTCTCTCTCTTTCTCGAATTCAAAGGGGGCCTGGATACGCGACGCGTGGGCCCGGACACACACCGTCCACTTTAGATTTATCTCGTGTCTCTAAGTGTTCGAGAGACGACACACGAGAGAGGATCTCTCTCTCTCTCTCTCTCGCGCCACGTGGGCGAAGAAGAGCCCTGCGGCGGATGATGGCGACGACGAAGAGATGAAACGGAAAAGCGTGCACATGCCTTATCTCCCGGCTCGTCTTCCGATGCTAAACTATCTAACTGTTCGTGCGAACACCCACTCGTCCTCTCTGCGGTTTCTCCGATAAGTTTTCGCCGTACCATTATGCTTATTGAGACACACGGAGAGAATTTTCTCTTAGAATTTATCCTGAAAATCATGTTCATTGTGGGACAATGCGATATTGGAAGAATTTATAAATTTATCACGATAAAAATATTAATAGTAAATCTTACTATGTGTATAGTAAAATTAATCAAACATATTTTATATTTTATTGCGGTAGATATTAATATTTTTAGTGTAGTAAATATTAATTGGAGAAACTCTTATAAAATCGTTGCGTTTGGCAGCTTTTACAATTTCGCATCTGCATGGCTGCAAAGTCGATTTAAAATCAAAGCTTTCGTCAAATTCATCAGTAAAAAATATTAAATATTGAGAGATATAATAATTTTATACGCACAGATATTGAGACAGTATGGTACTGAAAGAACTTCTCTAATTAATATCTATATCGCAATGAGCTATAAAATACGTTGGATTAATTTTACTATGTAAATTCTTCCAATATTATATTGTTCTAACATTGTTAATTTAATATTGTCGTCACTTTGCAGCGCTACAATCTAATATCAGTTAATTCTTAACAAATTAGTTTGCTATTGTCTCACAAGAGTATAGTTAATGTAAAATATATATACGTAATTGTATATAAAATTGTACACTTTTATGTTTTCTAGGCCATCATCAGATCTTATATACGGATACGGTGAAAACGAATTAAAGTCAATTTAAAGCAATAATTTTCTAAAAAGTTGCGAAAAGGAAGCTAGGAATGCTAGGTAGCGGGCTGGAAAACAATTCCCCAAAAAATGGTCACATAGAGAGAGAGAGAGAGAGTCATTCGAAAAGAGCCTATAAATTACTCGGAGCAAAGAAAGAAGAAAGGAATTCCTAGAAAGAAGTATGGCTCGCCTCGACCTTGGCACAAAAGTGCGCACGCTATTCCGAAGGCCGATCCTTTCTCGGCGCGCGAAATCGGAATCCACAGAGATGCGACTGCACCGCCTAGCCTGTGAAGGGACTCGGATCCTTCTAACGAAAAAGACCGCGCAAAAACTTTTTTGGATTACGTAAGTTGCGTATGCGCGCGCGCGCGCGTCGTTACGTCACCGCGAAAGATCAGATCCACGTGGCGATATTATACGCATATTCACAAATATGACGGAATTATTTATTCACGAGTACCGCGAGATTTACGTACAGCTGTCGCAATTCTTGACTGCAACAGGTGTATAACGCAACTTGCAACTTTTGCACTTTGATTATATTATAACTTGGCCACTGCTATCCAAGATTTTCCAAACACAAACGTTTCGTTCCTCATGTTCGCGTAAAATAATTATTTTCGTATATAATATGTACGTGTGTAACATTGTCGTATTTAAAAAAATATAGTAATATGGGCGATATGTATTATAATATGAAAATATATACGCCCTTGTGACTCCTGTTTTCAGCTTTTTTTCTTTGTCATCTATAATATAGAGATTGTATATCCGCGCATTTATTTGCAATGAAAGATTCCACAGAAGTTGACAAAGGAATTACAGAAATGTAAAAAAAAAAAAAATCTAAATATTTCCATTATATACGCAGTTGTAGCGTGACAAATCCTTTTCTTCTCTCCTATACAGATATCGTTATCTAATTCACGTGGGTTTTATACGTCGTCATAAATGTTGATGCAGCTAGCGCGTACGCGATGATGCTCCTGCAAATCGCATCGGAATTATTTTGGCGGGTGCAATATTTACGCGCGGCTTTCGCGGGCATGCATGTATATATACGGCGTATATATTTCTCGCATGTACGTGTGTGCGAGAAGATGTAGACGGAACGAGCGGGAGGAGGAATCGTTCTTGGCATACTAGATAGCAGACGCGTCTCGCCGAGAGCGAGCGAGTGAGCGCGCGCGAGACGGGAACCGGAAGTCTATTTTCGTGGCCCGCACCAATTTAGAAGGCTTTATAGTTCGTGTGCGACGAGAGTTAGCGGCTCTAACCGTGCGCGTCGCGTCGTCGGCGCTTTTGGGCTGTTTTGGACGCCTAATCGAGATTCGCGCCGCGTCTTCCGAGAGAGACAGGCCTGACAAATTGCGAATTTTACCCGATCTCGAAAACGATCGATGAGAGACATTTGCATTTATCGTCATTTCTCACAAGAGCTTTTCAAACTGAAATCAGTACATTTTGGAAATATAATATATATTATATTGTAGATTTTTCCGGAATGAGGCTAGACAAGTTGTCTTCCACGTGTATACCGGAGCTGTTTACCGTCGCAATATTTTTATCGTCGCGGCGGAATTAATCGCAAGCTCGGGTAAAACGATCCCGCCGACATTGGAAACCTTGTATCCGGCCGGCACTTCCCTCTTCCTCCCCGTTCCGACTTCCGCTCTACTCTAGCCTTTTTCCTTCGTAGCGACGGCCAAATATCACCATTTTTATGTCGACAAAACACTATTTGTAAAATCATTTTGTGCGCATGTACGTGATTCTC